GTGCCCACCACCATGCCCAGCTAATGTTTGTATTTTTTTTTAGTAGAGACAGGGGTTTCACCATATTATCCAGGCTGGTCTTGAACTCCTGACCTTGTGATCTGCACCTGCCTCAGCCTCCCAAAGTGTTGGGATTATAGGCATGAGCTGCCTCGCCTGGCTTACATAAGCTTTTTTTAGAGTCGGTGGTCAGAATCTCACTATGTTGCCCAGGCTGGAGTGCAGTGGCTATTTACAGACACAGTTAAAGCACATTACAACCTAAAAAATCCTAGTCTTTTTTTTCTTTTCTTTTCTTTTTCTTTTTTACCATTTTTTTTTTTTTTTTCAGATGGGGTTTCACCATGATGGCCAGGCTTGTCTTGAACTCCTGGCCTCAGGTGATCCACCCATCTTGGCCTCCCAAAGTGCTAGGATTACAGGCGTGAGCCACAGCGTCTGGCCAAAAATCCTAGTCTTAAGTGAGACTCATGCAATCTTCCTGCTGGAGTAGCTGATACTACAGTCTGGCACCATCACGCCTGTCTCATTTCAGCAATTTTTTTTTTGAGATGTGGTTTCACCATGTTGGTCAGGCTGGCCTCGAACTCCCGACCTCAGGCGATCCACCCGTCTCGGCCTCCCAAAGTGCTGGGATTACAAGCATGAGCCACCACGCCCAGCCAGCAATTTTTAAGTGTACAATTCAGTAGTAGCATAAAGTACATTTGTATTGTGCAAGCATCACTATTAGCGATCTCCAGAACTTTTCCATTATCCCAAACTAAAACTCTGTATCCATTAAACAATAGTTATCTGCTGAGTATTGTGGTTCACGCCTGTAATCCCAGCACTTTGGAAGGCAAGGTTGGCGGATCACCTGAGGTCAGGAGTTTGAGACCAGCCTGTCCAACATGGTGAAATCTCATCTCTAGTGAAAAATACAAAAATTAGGCCAGGCCCGGTGGCTCACCCCTGTAATCCCAGCACTTCGGGAGGCTGAGGCGGGCAGATCACGAGGTCAGGAGATTGAGACCATCCTGCCAACATGGTGAAACTCCATCTCTACTAAAAATACAAAAATTAGTTGGGTGTGGTGGCACATGCCTGTAGTCCCAGCTACTCAGGAGGCTGAGGCAGGAGAATTGCTTGAACCCGGGAGGTGTTCATGCCACAGCACTCCAGCCTGGGTGACAAAATGAGACTCCATCTCCTCAAACAACAACAACTAACTCTCTATTACCTCCTTCCTTCTAGCCTCTGGTAATCACTATTCTACTTTTTGTCTATGAATTTGACTCTAGGTACCTCATATAAGTGGAATCACACAGTATTTATCCTTTTGTTTCTGGCTCATTTCACTTAGTGTAATGTTTCCAAGGTTCATTTATGTTGTACATGTGTCAGGATTTATTTTTTTAAAGCTAAATAATATTTCATTGTGTATATACACCACATTTGGTTTATTCATTTGTCCGTTGATAGGACTGTTTCCACTTTTTTTTTCTTTTTTTTTTT